TTAGTCTGTCCGTGTTTTTTCATAGATTTTATTAGTTTGTGTGTTTTTGACTTTTGAATACTCAGTTTACTTGTTGATTTAATTGTTGTGTTGATTGTTCTTGTGTGTCCTAAATATGGCTCTGTGGAGACCTTGGGAAAATGCTCCAAGCCACGAGAAGATGGTTGATGAACCTGTGCAGGCAGAATTATTTCATAAAGATTTAGAGGAACAGACCCAAAGAGTAATCCTAAATATGTATGATTGTCTGAAAAACGAAAATCCAGATTCCTCGCAAAATCAAATTTTAAACAGAATTTGTATCCTGACAAAAATCAGTCGGTCTACCATTTATCGGGTTATAAAAAGGGGAGATGTAGTCAACCATGCCTTCCACAGAAAGCGCATAGGGCAAAAATTACAAAGAATAGACGTGGGTTTTCAGGAAGATATTCGTCGTATAATATACGGATTTTATAAAGAAAATTTGGTGCCCACGTTGGAAATGATACGGGATAAATTAAAAGATTATCCAGAAGATTTTTATGATTACAAATGCTTAGACTCACTGCACTGTATTGTAAAACTGTGTGGTTTTCAATACAAAAAATTAGATAAAAGAATGGTGGATATGGAGTCGAATCGTTGAATTGCGCCAAGAATTTTTGCACAAAGTTAAAATCTATAGAGAGCAGAAAAGAAATCTGATTTACCTGGATGAAACGTGGTATGATACCCATGATATTGTGCAGTACGGCTGGGTTGACGACAGCAACAAGTGCATTTTAAATGCACCATGCAACCGTGGAAAACGAATCATTATTCTCCATGCTGGCAGTGAAAATGGATTTATACCTAATGCCTTGCTGTTATCTGCCAAAAATATCAAAGAATCATGTGCCGACTATCATGAGGACATGACCTCCGACTTATTTGAAAAGTGGATAGAGCAGTAGTTAATACCAAACATTTCCCCAAATTCAGTGATTATTACGGACAATGCGCCATACCATTCCCGACAGAAAAACAAAATTCCGAATACAGGCACAAAAAAACAAGACATTATTGATTTTATGAAGGATAAGGGAATGGAAATACCACAAAAATCAACCAAAGCCATATTATTGGATCTTATTAAAAGACAAAAATTTGAAAAAGAGTATGTTGTTGACAATCTGCTTCAGCAAAATAGCCATGAAGTATTACGTCTACCTCCCTATTACTGCATTTTTAACCCGATTGAGTTGGTCTGGGCTGCTTTAAAAAAAAAGTAAGAAAACATAATCAGACCCCTCAATTAAGTGAATCGCTATTGGCCACAATAAGAGATGCAATATCTCATATTGCTGCCACAGACCTATGGAAGCAGTGTTCTAGGCATATTATTGAAAAAGAAAATGAATATTGTGTTTTGCCTCCTGTAAATCCCGTTGTAATTCCTCTACAAGATGACTCTAGCGACAGCTCCGAAGGCGAGGATGATATATAAATACCTATAATGTAAGTCTTTATATACCTTTTTATATACCTACCTGCTATGTAAATATTTGCCTATGTCAAACGTTGGAATTCTGTAACTTTTTCATTTCTTAACTTTCAGTCAACATAAATTAAACTCCCAATATAAGTATTTTTTATCCCAAATCAAAAAAATAAGAAGATAGTAAAATCCATTTATTGTGATATAAAAACATTATTATTTTCGTTCTAAATAAATGACCGCACGCCTATGATACGTCATGAAATTACAAAAGGTTACCAAAGGTTTTTATGCTATTTCAAGTGACTTCAGATAAAGTATACACCGTCAGCCTACTTCTTGCGGTATTTTTTTGAAAGCGGGTTGGAGCCGTTAAAATCGGGGTCAGCAACAAGGGTCAAAGGTGGCCCCCAGTTGACAGGATTCGCCTCCCCTCATTACTATTACTACTATTAGATCAAGTCTACATACTTGCAGTGCCGCATACTAAGTCTACCGAGTCTTAGATACATCAATTTTGGAGACGTTTTGAGCTCTAGAGAATATTCACGATAATCTGGCAACGCCATTGGTACTGCCAGGCCTAAGAGTCACGACCAGGCGGCACCGATACTCGCCTGAAGCGCCGTACCCACTTTGGGCACCACCATAACTCGCATAAATATTAAATCTGGGCAGTTGAGCTGCAGGTAGTATACAGGCTGCTGAACTCCATCAAGCTCCAGACTACCACCATATATCTCATATTCGCACACCCAGCATTTCTTGGTATAACAGACCGCTAATGGCGGTGCTACCGGTTACCGGTTTTTATACGAGGTCTGCAAACTAAGTGATGATAATGATTTTTTTTATTCAAATATAACTACAATTTTATATTGTCAGCCTCAAAATAACCTCCTTCTGAAGCCAAACAGCGTTGGAGACGGTTCTTTCACGGATCATAGTAGTGCTGGAACTCCGATACTGGAGTAGCCTTCAGCTGGTCGGTTACAGCCGCTTGATACTTTCCGACTGTTCCAAAAGTCAATAGGACTCAAGTCAGGCGAATGAGGATGCTGAGTAGCCAAATTAATGTTTTTACTGTCCAAAAACTCGTTTACTCACAGTGCTGTGTGTCAAGGAGCACTATCTTGATGCAACACCCAGTTGTTCTTGATCTGATGAACGGTGGTGCGAGTCAAATTTAACTATACGGACAACCAAATGACTCGAGCGAGTTCAAACTTGTACTGAAAGCGAATCACATGTTGCAGATCGAATGCTACGTTTCCAGTCTCGGATACTAGGAAGTTAATGAACGCTCCTTGAGGACTGAGTACTGTTTAAGGAAATATCTCTCCTTGAAGTTCAAACGAACAATAACGCATTTAACATTCTGCTGTTACAGTTATCACAAGCTGTCATTGATGCCAGAAAGATTTTTGGCTGCCTCACTCACATTGATGAAAACTTTTACAGCCTACTGTGAAATGCACTTGTTACAGCCTAAGTAGTAAGTACTGTCACAGATCACAGAGTAGTAACAGACAGCGACGAAAATCAGGTTCTATCAACGCGAATTTGAGACTTTTGCGCATGGAGCCTATACCAGGAGAAATGACGGCAATGCTGTTCGTACTGTAATAACAACAACCCTAAAACTGGACGTCTGGAGTATAAGTGGTGCTTTGACAGGGTTGCCATGTTGGCGGACTTTCCGTCAAATTTAGGAGATTTTGACTTGGGGTGTTGTTTTGGGCATCTCGTAATGTTTCGCGAATAGAAAGCATCCCTCCACTCTTTGAACCTAACCTACTCATTTCCATTGATTAACTGTGACTTGGGATTTTTTTTTTGAAAAAGTAGCATTTCTGTCCGACCTATCTGGCAACGCTGTTCTCTGACAGATTTGGCATATGAACACTTTCCTAATAGTCTATGATCCGGCCGTTTGAATCCGCAGGTATCTTTTACAATTACCATTTTATTTATAACCTCATGTAGTTTTCTGATCATTTCGTCGGTTCTTCAGGTATATAGGCTGCATGCCTGTGTTTGGTAAGATTTCCATGGCTGTCAACTGTAATTATGATATTATGGGATATTCGACTGACTTAAAACCACTGTGAATTCTGCAAGGACTCATTTCCTGGACAAATCGGATACGTAGATTCCAAATCTGACATCAAGGATGCGCTTGGAGTCCCAAGCAACTCGTTGTCTACGTCAAATCTGAGCACACGCGGATCCTCATGATTTTGTGACTGTCATATTGCATTTCTGCGCCCCAAATTACCTGCATACAGGAGGTCTCTTCTGTGGTAAGAACGGCCAAGGAAACTGGAAATTTCGGCTTATGACGTTTTTAGATTTCCAATCAGAAAGTGTGATAACCCAACACGTCTGTTATTTTTGCACAGAAACTCGTTTCCTGGTAAATCAGGTGCATAGATTCTGAATCTGACGTCAATTTGACGCTAGGACTCGCTGGCGTGTCCCGAACGGATTCCGTAAATTCCGAAGCAGAAGTCAATTTAACGCCCGAATATACGGGTTGTCTCGAACACAAGCTCTAATTCAAAAATCGAATAAATATCTCAATCATATCACGTCAATTTTCTAGCACGTGAACAAGATTCAATAATTGTTTGCAAGCAGTAACAATATTATACAGAGTTTTTCCATTTAATATAGTACTTACTTACTATGAAGAATGAATTGAACATTTGGGTGTTTCCTCGGGTATTTACATATTTACATACATTATTTCTCTCGCCATTTAAAGAGGCTGCGCCTTGATAATAACCTTAGGCGCAATCTGTTGCTTTTAGTTAGACTCAGTATCAATATGATGCCGTGTAAACAAGTATAAATACCCATGTGTGGACATGATTTCTTATTAAATTTATTCCACATTCGGACGTTCCTAGAGAAATACCTTCAAGAATGATGACAGTTAAAACAGTATGAGAATTCGTAGCAAATTATCTAATTTTTGGTGTCTACTGTATCTTGGAACCTCCAACAGTCTAAGAATCGTTGCAGCATATGAAACGCTCCATATTATTTAGCAAAATAATAGAAAATAATAAACATATCTGGGAGCTGTCAAAGGAGATATGGTCAAATGACGCATATATAGGTGCAGAATCAAGATAATTTTACAAAATATACGTACGTGTTTGGTGGAAACCTGCTGCTGAGGAATGGCTGATCAAGTAGACGCTTTTCACCCCCGATTCCCGGGATTCTACCATTTTTAACTCGATTTTTTCACCCAGTTTTCATTGAATTTTCACACAAATACACTTCGATCTCATTAAAATCTCGCGGACAACTGACATCTGACAACAGGCACTGTCAATGTCAAGTGTCACTATTACCGCCATCTATACTGCAGTAGTTGTAGTAAAAAACTCTAAGATGTAGATTCCTGTAGTCTTTCCACGGCCCCTATCGATTTCAAGTGTAACAATCTACTAGTTAGTATTTTCACCAGTAGACAGCGCCACTATTTCTTACAGATTTCCAACTGACTAGTGTTAGTGTCAGAGTCGTACGTCGTACATCGCATGACTAGGGCGACATCTTGATTTGCTGTATGTAAAAACTGTAAAAGTGAAAATGTGCAAAAAATGTGAACGAGATAAATAAAAATCGAAACCACAATGGTTTCACTTTTTGAAAATTATGAACAGCAATATTCAGTACTGACTGCTGACATCACTAGCCAAGTAGGACTTTTAACAGCCTCAGCAACCAGTAAGATCAAGTGGCATTTGCCTTTGGGTGTATTCGTTTGTTTTGATCTTGAATTATTTTTTCAGGAGACCGTCGACAGCTGATTTCAAAAATAGAGAAACATGTTGAGGAGGCACAGGAACTGGTAGGTCTAACGTGATGGTTTTAAGCTTGGTTCAATAGCCATATCGTACAGAAATTAGAGAAAAAGATGTATGCCTAATTATAGAGCTGTTTTACTACTGTTTACACATTCATTTACGATGTTGTAATCTGATAAAAAACCACCAAATTAGATTCAATTGGAACTTTGATGTAGCTTGATAAACTGGACTGTCCATATGAATGTCTATGATAGATGTGATTCGGAAACATTTTTGAGAAGCTTCAAGTTTGACCAACAAAAATGAGCCACCCCTCATTAGTCCCATCATCAAATTGATATCAGATGAGACAGCTTATGTAGGAAGTTTGATTACTTACTGATCATAAAGATGCAGGAATTTTTTCAAACCATCTTCTATTTATAAGAATTCCAAAAGGAATCTCCATTACAAGCAGATGAGACTTGATTCATTAAAATGACTCGATTAGTCATCAAAACCATATTTGGGGTATCTAGATCAGACCCATGTGGACTCTCATTTATATAGGATTTGTAGTTTATGAACCCCACTTACCATGGGAGTGAGTTTTGTACTTAATCACTTATAGGAGAGGGATTTCAATTAATATCAACAATGTGGGTTAGCAGCACAAAATACCCATTTTCATACTCTGTCGAAACAAGCAAACACAGTTTGTATATGAACATAACTTGGAGTGGTGAATTTGAATGTTGCCATCAACAGATGTTTTGTATTTATTTATAGTTGGAACAAATGGAACTGGAAGTACGAGAGGTAGAACCATCCAAAAGACAAAGATGCAGAACAAAGTTAGACTGCTACAGAGCTGAATTGAAGAGACTAACCTTGGACTACATTAAAGCGAGGTCTGTAAAACAGGGGGTTCTGTACGACAGTGCAGAGGAGCTGAATGATGTCAGGATATCTTCGGATCAGAAACAAGGACTGCTTGAAAATTCCGAGTCATTGGAGAGGAGCAATAACAAGCTAGAGCAAGGGTATAGGGTCATCATAGAGACACAAGAAATAGGGAGCCAGGTGCTCAAGAATCTTGGGGAACAGAGGGAAACAATACAGAGGTCTAGAAACAGGGTAAGTGTTTTGAGAGAAGCCTTTATTTATCTTGCGAATCCCATTATTATTCCATGATCCATAATTTCTGATACTTCCCACTACAGCTAGTCTTGACAACATTAGCTAGGTCAGCTGTCAAGGAGAACAGACTATTTGAGTATGTCCCTGGTTCCTAAGATCACAGACGTTCGTCTAAAGGTTCAACATAATTTTCAGATGGTTGTATATGTGTTTAATATTGTCTAAGCTGTGTCTAGATAAGGACAACTCCTGTTTCGGCACAACACGTTTTGACGCCACCTAGACGTGATGGACCCTCTATTTTTTTTTGTGTCATGTGCAGGATGCATCACTTTTTTAGATTCAAGATTGCAGTGCCCATGCCAAAAACTTGTAAATATTTTGCAGGTATCTATTTTGGCCGTTATAGTGAGAACTTTTTTTACCGCAAACCTCTAAGATGTATATATTGATGCATTAATGATATTTTTATATTTTGAACTTTTTTTCAGTTGAGGGAGGCAGACGAAGACTTAGGCAGATCAGGCAGACTGATGAATTCAATGATAATTCGCTCATTACAACAAAAAGTGATATTAATTGCAGTCATAGTATGTTTTTTTCTGGCGCTATGTATAGGTTTGTACTTAGGTCTCAGCAAAAACTAGCGTTAGATTTGATATTCCGAAAAAATGTACCTAATTAACAAAATTGCCATTGACTGTTCAACAACATTATCCATATATTTATTAATTTAAATAAACGTTAATATTTTTGTATAAACTGGCTGGTCAGAAAAGTGCTATCAAAATTGTAATCAAAATACAAAATTCTCCACGACAATCTAATGTCCTAAATATATCAGAGCAAATATTACAGAAATTATAGCAAAGCTATTCAGTTCTAGATAATTCTGTTGATTTGGTTGAACATTTGTACAAGACAGATGATTAAAAAAGTTACCACTTTTATGTTCTCAGTTTAAGAGACTGAAAGGTATTCTTGTTCAGACTCAGTGTTAAATATTATGTATTCTGATTTGAGCTTACATAGGCCTACCATACGATTGATCTAAACAGATGCTGATTTGATAACTTTTTGTGTCATAGTATGTATTATTTGTATATAGCGTATTAGTATACAGTATATTATCTTGAGTAACAGATTTACATCCTATTTTACTCTGCGTTATTTTATTTATTACTTTCAGTCGTGTTCGTTTACTAATGTGTTTTGTACACATTCCTGTTGATGTGATTTACTTTATATATTGAGTTGTGTTGTGAATTGTTTTATTAAACATATGTTTAAAATGTTTCTTTTTTATTCCCTATTTTTGTCTTGTAACAATATCAAATAATGTACCACCGGAAGGCACATACTATGCTCACAGACACGGAATAAAACAAAATGGTAGTTGGTAAACCGGTCTGCTTGCCATGATGCCATTGGTGGCTAGGACCTACGCAGATGCGCGATAGATCGATAGACCTGATTGAATGTTCTCAACACGTGCCAAGTATATTCCTTTTGGGTACCTGATGGAATGTCACGAGACAAGAAATTTTATATCGAAATGTTCTAGAAACGTATATTCTTAGCATGTGAACAAATGGGTATCCCAGATGTGAATATGCTATGAACTTTTTTGTCCGTTCCGAATGTTCTTAAATCGCATATTCTTGCCACGTTCGTTAGAAGAATATTATGTTTTAGAGGGATGTAGTCAGCATGTGCTGAGAACATGTCACCGACGGTAAATATACATGCTTTTTGAGGATCTAAGACGTACATTCCAGTAATGTGAATACATCTTTTCATGTTTGCTGGGTTAAACCCTCTGATTAAAGGATTGGTTTAAAAACTGTGCCCTAGATGTCTTTTTAAATAAAATTGCAAATTCCAAAAACTATACTAAAAATCATGCTAAATATGCAAATTTTATGGAATTTTGGGGGATGACATGCTAGCCCAAAGCTGGTATAGTTGGCAGGGTTCGCCTCTCCACCACTACTGGTATTACCTTAGCCCCAGATTTTACGTATCTCTCTGTTTTTTCACTCAGTTGTGATGTATTTATGATTTTTTTAGAATCATTAAGAATCGATTTTTATTTTACTTATTTTGTTTATGTTAGTTTTTCGTTTCTTGTGCGTTATTTTGTTTCATTAATTGATTTAATTTATATAAACTAGAATTTTCGATTTTTCATATTTTTCCCGAAATGCGAAATCCACTCCGACAACACCGCAGCAAGCCCATTGCTACTATCGTTCTGCGGTGGTGCTATCTGTCGTTCGAAATCGAAAGATTTTGATATGATGATACACCCTATTTCACGAGTATTCATCACGCTTTCACGTCTACTTAGGTGAACAGCTGATCAGCAAGTGATATTTTTTGTGTTAGTCTGCGACGTTGGCAATAGTGAAACGCGTGTAAATCTAGTAAAACTTATTTGTAGCGTTTTGTTTTTTGCATGCAAGTGAACTTTTCTAAATAAAAGCTGTTAGCAACTACAAAATGAATCTGTAAGGTACACTAAACAAAATACAACTCTGGCTACCTGACGTTGACAGATCCATTAGAATTATGTGTCCTGTGCCGATATGGGGAATTTTGAAATATTACTGGATAACTAGCTATCATTGTTCTATGATGGATACTCCTGAAATAAGGTGTATTGTAATCAGTGACATCAGTGTGCTTCTAGTCCTTTCACTGAAACAACGCAGTTACATCATATTTAGTAAATTGAACGCCAACCTTAATGCACAATAGATCCTAAATTGCTACGTGCAGTTTGAATTTCCTGGGTACATTTATGTTGGTATCAGTTTTCTGTGTTGTGACATTGTCACAAAGCATGTCAGGTATAATTACAATTACGCCAACGGCTGTTGTTTATTTGTGGTTTATTTTCATTCTTTTTGCCTCATTATTTGCATTGTTCTTTTATAAAAATAGTTTTTTTCAAAACTTTGAGGTGTCCTTCTAAGCATTTTGCATCGAAGACAGTAGTAGATTTTCTAAAACGTCCAGCTTCTAGTAGTTTTAATTAATGTGGCAACCATGTGCGTCACTGTCATTATTTGACGTTGTAACGTAACTGCTTTGATTCAGTGAATAAACTGTATGTTTTGTCGTAAATATAAACACAATAACAAAACAAAAATCGATTCAAAATAATCTATGTCCGAGTATCCTCTATAGTCTATAAGATTCTAGTAAGAAAACAGTGAAATCTGTCCGGAAAAAGTTCTACAAGCCGCACGCATAAACTCTGAATAAACTTATCCTATCAAACAGATTACATAGGTATGACATGGACTCATTTTTAATTCCATCAAACTGTTCAATAGTCTGCAAAGTTATGTGGAAACATGTCTTAGGCTACCTGTTACCTGTTTTGTACAGTCTTATGCTAGATTGATTTAAATATTGTTACTCAACTTGAAACTTAAGGAGAACCAATAAAATTTGACCAACACTCATCTTATTGCTCCTGTCTTAAGTCCTAAGAACCTGAGGGTCTATCTTACCACATGATATTCCATAACTCATACCTTTGCATAATTTCTGTATATACAGTAAGTTATAATTATGTGTTTATCAATCTTTCTTTGGTTGTTTTATATCCTACTTGAGGCCACTCTGATCATGGCCTTACATCACCACACATTATATTAGGTTTTCTCACAGGTTTCATTTAACTTTTTTAGCTCTGTAATCAGAATGAATTTATAGAACATCTATCAAAATTAAAAGCAGCATGTTATGAGAAAATGTGTTATTGATAATAAACTGAGCATTTATTTGTTAGAGCTGCTTATTATAATGATATCATGTGATTTTATTCTAGTGTTTTGGCTCTTGTTACATTTAACATGTATTCCAAAAAAATCTAATTTATAACTGATGAAATTGTCTTATAGGTACCTATTTTATGTTACTTTTGTTATCATATTGCATGAGATGCCTAATTAAAATGTGTAATGTTGAATCAGTGAGCATATTTATACAAATTCCTTGGTAGTATACTCAATTTTAATACATGAATCTTTATCGATCATTTGGTTTTCATGTTGATAATCCCTCATGTGTATATCACCAAGCAAACCACATTAAAATTCCTGTTTATTGTACAATGTTTCAGTCCCATTGATAACCTTTTTCAGATACAATTAACACCGTTTTGTCCCATTTTCAAAATAGGGCTGTATGACAGTTCATCATTTTTTGATGATGTTGAGTATATAAAGTTCTATTGCCTCCAACAACAAGGCCCGAAAAGTAAATTCTGCCCTTAAGTTTCATATTTTCAAGCCTCTGATAAGGGTAATCTTAAAAACCTCCACATAACTTGAACCTGGCTGAAAACTTGTTTCTAAGATAAGTTAGATACATGATATGTATATAATATTCTGAATCAGACATTGTTTTAAGACATTTTCTAGTCTCAATCCTTAAATATTGCCATATCCTTGAGAAGCTGCTATTTTTAGTAACTGTGTTTTGAACCATTCATCATTTTGTATAATATGATCTTATTATGGATATTTCTTTAGTTGTAGCATCAAACAAGATAATTTTGACTTCAAAAGAACTACTCATCAATGTAGTGAGGAGAAGAGTGATACAAAAGTTATTGGTACCCTAGCAATGAAGTCTGTAGTTGAACCAGATAGTAAGAGGAGCATGAGCTCTGCTGCAATATATTCACTGTTACATAAGTAAGAAATGTAATATGATAGTTGATAGCACATCAAAAAACCTTCAAATACTTATAGTCCCAGTGTGAGGTATCATCGATAAATTCACTAGCAGTTGCTAATAGATGGAGTTATATATATGACTCCTTATAACTTTGCATTGAACGATATATTCTCGAAGAATATGCTTAACCCCTATGCTGTATTTGATTCCATTGCCACAGCAATGTTCCCAAGGATCTTGCTAATTCTCTCAGAAGGAATACAAACTGATCCAGCTTTCCTTTTAAAGAAATATTTTCTTAAACATTACATCAACATGGAGAGATCGCCCTTCAACATCCCTCATAATTATTCGTAAGATTTCATATTCCCAGAATGTCTCAGTGGCGGAAAAGGTAATCCTATAACCTCCTAGAGGTGGCAATACTGGCGCCTATAGAAAGTGGTGAACAGGTATTTAGTTGTATGGGTATTTTCTGGTGGAATATGGTTGATCATTGCCTGAAGTGAATATTCTTTTAGAGTCAAAGATGAACACTGGGATGGAGTTAACCAGGTGAAACCAGAGAATCAGTTGTTGGTTGAGGTTAAATTGGAAAGACCAGATGCAGAACCAACTGTGGACAACATGAAGCTTGAAAATATGGGTACCTTGCCGCTGATTGAAGAGTTTAACATCAAATCAGAATACAATGAAGATGTCATATCCGATTTAACATGGAATAGGTGGGTCTGCTTTGGCTTTCCATCTATTTCATTTCATTTTAAAGAAATTAGTGGTACAGTGCTTCTCAAAAATGCCTATCCCATGCTTATTTTTTTAACAGGTCAAGTTAGAATGTCGAAGTTTGAGGAGATGAAATTTGTGCATCAGTAGGTATGATAGGACAAAAGCGGCAGTTTTGAACATTTCAAGATGGCGGTCGGTCGCCATCTTGGTATATTTTTTGAAATGGAATGGGGGGTCATGTGACATCTCATTTTCAAGCCTATTATGGGGTTATGGTGTTCTATAGAAGTTGAATGTTTAATAAAGATAGTGATTTTATGTTTTATATTGTGGAGTAACCATGAAAAACTTTAAAATAAGGCATCACATGGTGTTTCAGTTTCTTTAAAAAAATGCTCCAAGATGGGGGCCCACTGGGATATTGGAATGTTCAACTGCCATGTTAAAATATAGTATTAATGCATCAATATCATCATCCTGTTCTGAAAATAAGCTAAAAGGGGCCACCTTTTTGAATCACACTGTAAATTTCCCTCCCTGTATTGAAACATCCCCTTCATTACCATTTTAGAATTAACTCGACAGCAGATTCTGTTGACCAACAGTCTGAAAAAGTGGATGAAAATCCACCTATGAGCATCATACATTTTGAAAATATGGACTCATTAGGGCTGAATGAGGAATGTGAGATTAAAACTGAGAGTCACCAAAGTGACAGACATGATTCAGACTCCGATAGGTGAGTTTCCTTTAATCCTTGAGCTTTAGGGGGTGTCCCAGAATCATATGTGAATTTCGGGCACTCAAATGAAACCCAAAGAAGAATGCCACAAATTCCACAGAAATGTCCTGTCCTACTGAAAGTCAGGTTTTCATAAATAATTTTAGAATAACACTGTATAATTCATTGTAATTCTGACAATTTAGTAATTGGTTGAGGCCTGATCCATGGAAAACAATTATCTCATTAGACCGCCAGATACAGAAAATTACTGAAACTGCACTGAAACAAGAGCTTTTCTAAAAACGATCCATTATATAGGGTGTCTTTAAAGTTGGTAGTTTCCTTTTCAGAAACAACAAGAGATCAAATCTCCTCATAAACGAATAAAGATTTTATTTTTTCATTTTGAGAAAAGTCGGTAGCGTTCCCTGACTTTTTATATTGAAAACATTACCACCCTGTATTTCTAAAGTTGGTACATTTAGAACATACGTTCTTATGAAGTTTTCTTCTTGAAATGGACCCAATCATTACCCCTTAAAAATTGGCATTCAATCGGGATGCCAGAAATTGACGTTTTTAACACCCCATATATGTCAAAAACTGTCTATCTAAGTTTTCTTGTACAGTTTTTGATAATAAACCTCTAAACAAAATTTAATATAACAATAATAACGTAAGAGATACGTTTTCATTATTTAAAGTGATTTATGCAGTCACGGTCGTGATATACGGGGCCGTTCGACAAGTACTGAGCTTCATCGCCCGATGGCGCCACTATCGCAAGAGAAATCATTTTACGCAGTCTTAACGAGTTTTAATGTGGTCGCACGTTGTTTTTGATGCCACGCCCAGGTGCCCCTAAAATGGCTACCGCGGAGGATAACGTGGCAAAAATCCACGATCGTGTAATGGCAGACCGCCGATTGAAGGTATGCGAGATAGCTGAGACAGGCATATTAATATCATGCATGAAATATTTGGCATGAGAAAACTGTGCGATGGGTGCCGCGATCGATCACTCGGACCTACTTTGCAGACTTTCAGAAAACTCATTTTTCAGACGGGTTAAATAAGTTGAAGCAGCGCTGGGTCAAGTGAATCGAGCTAAAAGGAGACTATGTTGAGAAATAAATCGCCACTTTTTTTTGCTAAGTACTTATCGGACCGTCTTAAGCATACTCGTAGTAGTTAGGGGACGTTTTTGTAGAACAGTCTCTGAAATTATACAGGACGCTCTGCGCTCTGTGGAATCGTGGTGTAGGGAAGTCGATCTTTCAGTTAATGCTGGAAAGACCGAGCTGATCCTATTCACTAGGAGAACAAGGCTTGACGGGCTGGTCATGCCGACCTTCTTTGGGACTAGATTAATTCTATCCCAATCAGTGAAATATCTGGGAATTATCCTGAATTGCAAACTGAACTGGAGAGAGCATGTTGAATACAAGGTTAGAAAGGCTCGCAATTCAATGTGGGCCTGTAGACGAGTTGTCGGTGTAAGGTGGGGGCTTAAACCAAAGTGGTATACTGGCTCTACACGACGATAGTACGTCCATCTCTCTTGTATGTCTCCCTGATCTGGTGGCTTGCATTAGAACTGAGACAACTAAGGCCAAACTCAATAAAATTCAGCGTTTGGCCTGTATTAGCATTACAAGCGCAGTGCGAACAACGCCATTGAGTGCAATGGAAGCTCTGTTGGATCTCCCACCGTTGGATCTGGTGATCCGCGGTGAAGCGAGAGTAGTCGCTCATCGTCTGTGGAGTCAGCGCAGCTGGCGGCTGGGCCTTCTTGAATCCTGTCAAGGGGCATACTGCCATCTTAGTCGAATTGCAAAGGGAGGACCCCGTCCTTCTAAGCAGGGGTGATCGTATTACCTCTAAATATCGCTTCAACCGCAAGTTTATTGTGGAGTATCCAGCGAGGGAGGAGTGGGATACCGGTAGCCGGAGACTCGCCGGATTGGCAGGTCTGGTACACAGACGGCTCGGTCACCGAAGGCTCAGGTGCTGGGGTCTCTGGGCCTAGAACTAGGCTATCTCTGCCTCTCGGTGGATACATTGCAATGCAGAGAGGCTCTGGATTGCCTCGCAGCGAGGCATCCGGTATCGTTACTGTGGGTACCGGGGCACGCTGGGATAAGGGGCAATGAGACGGCGGACGCTCTGGTGAAGACAGGATCAGCCAGCAAGCTCGATGGTCCTGAGCCAGCTTTAGGAGTGACCGCGCATAGAGCTAGGAGCAAAATGGAGACGTGGGTTGCAGGACAACACTCCCAGAAATGGAGAAGTATCTCCAGACATCTCCGCCAGGCACGGAAACTCATTGAAGGGCCCAGTGCTAAGGATGGACGTTTCTGCATATCTCTGGATAGAGCCAACCTAAGGATGCTGGTGGGACTGTTGTCTGGCCATAACACATTAAGGCGCACCTCTGTGCATAAGGGCCCTCTTAAGCGGCCTATGCACTGGCTCCTTATGGTGGCCGGAATGCCTCTAATTTCACGATTCATTCATTCATATCGGACCGTCCTCGTATGCATATTGCGAACCAAACATAGGCGTAGATTTTGTTTATTAGTTGAGTTTCTTGAATGGCAATTTTTCAAATGTAATAAAATCTTCCAAGTATTTAGTAAATTCTATAATGAATGTGCGCAAAAAAATCCATTTTTACAACATTCAATGCATACTAGATGTCGCAGGTTAATCAAACTATAACGCATTATCTGTGAAGACCAATAAAACAGAATAAAAACGATTCATCTCCTTTTTTCAGTGCAAAAATAAAGAAACAGTGGAAAAGGGAACAAGAATATTCGCAGGTCGAAGAAGGACAAAAGTTGTTTAGCTGCTATGTCTGTAACTATACGAGCCATTGTAAAAAGGGTTTTATCGTTCATATGAAAAGGCACAATTGCCACATAGACTCGAATTTGGAAAAATCACAATCTGTTTCTATGAAATCTTACGAACTGAATGAATACTTTTGTATCACATGTAATAAGGTGATCAAAATACTTAAATGTACATTCTGTGATTTCAGAACAGCTCATCAAGAATATTTAACTAAACATATGTTAAGACACACTGCTTCTTCTCGGCTGCACATATGCAAACATTGTAATGTGTCATTTAAAAAAAAGCAATCGCTCTGTAACCATATTCTAAAGCAACATCCCGACTTTAGCGGGACAATTTCTATTAAGATATATGAATGTTTACATTGTGCACTCAAAACAACCAATAGGACTAGTTTTATAGAGCACATGGCAAAACATAACACTCATAAGCCCTTTAAGTGTATAAACTGTCGTGCGTCATTTAAAACTAAGCTCTGTTTAGATGACCACGTCTTGAAGAAACATCCTGAGTTCACTACTTCTGTGTCTCGTAAGATACACGAATGTACACATTGTGAATATAAAACTACATACGCGCACTGTTTAGCGGGGCATATGATGAAACATACTGGAGCTAAGCTCAACTGTACAAAGTGTGATGCGTCATTTGCAACCAAACATACTTTAAACAATCACATTTTACAGAAGCATCCTGAGTTTACAGCTGGTGTGTCTTGTAAAGTACAAGAGTGTTCACATTGTGAATATAAAACTACAGAATCGCGATATTTAGCTAGGCATATGATGAGACATACTAAGGCTAGGCTTACGTGTGCGAAGTGTGACGCATCATTTACAACCAAACAAGTGTTAGACAACCACGTAATACAGAATCATCCCGAGTTTACTGCTTCTGTGTCTCGTAAGATACACGAATGTACATACTGTGAATACAAAACTACATACTCGCAGTCTTTAACTAGGCATATGATGGAACATACCGGAGTTAAGTTCACGTGTGAAAAGTGTGATGCGTCATTTAAAAGCAAAAAAACGTTAGACAACCACATTTTACAGAAACATCCTGAGTTTACTGATTCTGTGTCTCGCAAGATACATGAATGTACACATTGTGAGTATAAAACTACACGCGCATACTCTTTGGCTAAGCATATCATGAAACATACAGGAGCTAAGTTCGTGTGTATAAAGTGTGATGCGTCATTTAAGAGCACAAAATCGTTAGACAACCACGTTTTACAGAGACATCCTGAGTTTACTGCTCCCATGTCTCGTAAGATACACAAATGTACGCATTGCGAATTTAAAAGTACATACGCACAGTCATTATCTAGGCATATCGTGAAACATATTGGAGCTAAGTGTACAAACTGTGATGCGTCATTTATAAGCAGAAAATCGTTAGTCAATCACATTTTACAGAAACATCCTGAGTTGACAGCTTCTGTGTCTAGTAAGATACACGAATGTACGCATTGTGAATACAAAAGTATATGCGGGTACTCTTTGGCTAGGCATATGAAAAAACATACTGGAGAGTGTACAAAGTGATGATGCGTCAATTGAAAGCAAAAATTTGTTAGACAACCACATTTTACAGAAGCATCAAGAGTTTACTGCTTCTGTGTCTCTTAAGATGCATGATTGTACACATCGTGAGTATAAAACTACATACGCATACACTTTAGCTACGGATACCATGAAAGATACTGGAGCTAAGTTCATTTGTGTATACGTATAGTGTGATGCGTCATTTATGTGCACAAAATCGTTAGACAACTACATTTTACAGAAACATCCTGAGTTTGCTGCTCCCATGACTTGTAACATACACGAATGTGCATTGTGAACTTAACCCTTTCACCACTGAATATGTTTTTAATAAATTTTCGTTTCAAATATATATTTTTTAGTAAAATAGTGACTATAATGAAAGATATTTGCAATAAATTCTTTGAAAATATTCTGCTTATCCTGAAAATGTGCTGGGATGGTATGTACCACTAGAAGATATGGTTAGGACTAAGGTCAAACTCAGATTATTAAAAAAAATATCCGTCATATCTATACCGCGTGATACTAGCATCTTGCGTTTAAATTTCAATAATATTATTCCATGCCCTCGTAATAATCGACGGCGGAGGTATCCTGTAGAGAGGTAAAGTTAATGTGTTCTCAATCAAATAGTCAGGATGTCTCGGAAAATACTCTGAATCACAAAACTTCTCTTAGTTACCTCAATGCACAACTTTGCCCTTATTCAACCAACTTAGTTATTGTTTCCGAGATCACAATGGTGAGAATAGAATTTGAAACACCCGCGATAGAACGCGGATGATCTGCTGTACTATGTGTTTTGCTGGATACAACCATGGTATGATTCTTATTATCTTTTAAAGTATATTTGTATGTTGTAACTGATTTCCATATGGAGTTTTATTAATAAAGATACATAAAACCTGTCACATGTATTTCCTCTTATTTAATATGGTGCTCAAATCAGAATTACTTGCATCTTTGCATTTCAAGGCAAATCTAGAGACACGTGATGTGATAAAATCCGTCCAGCCAGTTATGCTATATTAGGCCGTGAAATGATATTTTCGTGTGAAATCCATTTTCATTTCATAAAATATCATTATATCCAGTGATACTCGCACTGCTAATCCTTATCGTCTTCTGATGCCTCTTTATATTTGATGCTTCCGCCATCATTGAGTTCCTAGAAAATTCCCGCTAAAAATTCAATTAATAGAGGTCTGTACTGCAAAAAACCTAACCTTACTGCCATCTAGGGAGTGTAACTTGTACACTTAAGGACATAACGAAGGAATCTTTTAGCAGTTCTTAACGTGACATATAGATAGCACTACAAGCTGCTTTTAAATGCAGCACCATCTAGTAATACGACCATGTAATCATGAATAACATGGAATACAATTGTTTTCAAATAACATAAGTACTAAAAGTAACAACCAACAGAGGGCGGTAAAATCTAATTTGTGGCGCCATCTAAGAGCAGTAATTTATACCATTAAAGATCTGGTATAGATTCCTTCACTCTATAGGCTATGTTCTAATATCTAATTATCTATGGTTTGAATATACATAGTGGAGATAACATGGTAAGTAAGGATAACATGGCAACGCAAATCAACTCTGGAAATATACTCTACTAGACTCTAGAAGACTATCCGTAGCTAATTTTTTCGCGAAATCGTTGCACAACACTTAAAAATATGCAAATGAAAATCGAAAAACTGCCGCTTTGATGTGCTAAATTAACCGTTGTTACCCCGGGATAGACATACGTTTTGAAAGTTGACCTCGTCATTTCTGTCACCTGGATTGCAGCGTTGCCAGCTCATCGGACGATTTTGCTACCCCTGCTATTTTGCTATCGCCAGTTCCTTGGACTAAAAATAGTTTTTTGTTCGAGGCCTTGCTAATAGTTTTGAGATTTTTCAGAAATGAATGTGAGTACATAAGAATACTTACAAGAACGTTTCTGTAAATTTTCTTTTTATAATAAAGTGTTACACGGTGGCCAAGATAAGGATCAGACTAGGTTAAATTAAGTAATCACACAATCTTACATCAAGCATTTGTTTGCAATGCCTGCTTAAATAAAATGAGACAGTATAAAAGACACGTTTGTTTATAACTAAAAAACAAATGAAACGTGATACATCGTTGCAGTCGTAGAAAAGGATACTATTAGATAGAGGGTAGTATTTTTTTAAGAACACCATTATGTAGTGCCTAAATAGTGCCATTAGTTTTTTGACATTTCTTAAGATAAAGTCAGACAAAAATAAAAACGGTTTGGCCAAATTTTCGTTTTTCTCAAATACCTCGGTATATGGCTAATCTCTCAGTGTATGCAATGTGCGCAATTTATTTAAAAAAAAAACATAGGATGTCAACCCTAACACGCAACTAGATGAGTACGCAAGGTTCACCGAGTTTGCTGCACAGATATCCTGTTTCCTTCAGAAGAGTTGGAAGTAGACCTAATTTCCACTTTGGAAACACTTGACACCCACGTCACAACACTAAAACACCACTGAGAGACAATCGAGAAGCCTATAATAGTGAACACCACTACTGAAACAAAGTAGCTAAGCCGAATAGAGCTCTGCACGGAACTGTGAACGCCTAGACATTTCGCTGCGGCGACGGTTGTCGAAAGATTGAAGCGTGGAGCTTTCGAGTGGTGTACCTCACTGCGGCGATACGGTACGGCCTGTAGAACAGCCACGCCCCTTTCCAGCTTCCACTCCGCGCGTCTGCTCCCCGTCAATGCAGTTGTTTTTTTTTTCTTATCTGACAGTATCACGAAGCGACTTGATGTTTACGTTGAACGGGAGCGGAGGCGCGGAGTGGCAGCTGAAAATGGGCCGTACCGTATCGCCGTAGCGAGGTATAGCACTCGTACACTTCAGTCTCCCGGCAACCGTCGGCGCAGCGGAAGGTCTACGCGTACACAGCTCCGTGCAGAGCTATATTTGGCCTAGCTACTCTTTTTCAGTAGTTCTGTGACGGGATTACAAAACGGTTCCTACTAAAAAATGACCCTCGTATAAACCATTATTTCAATGCTACTTTTTTTAGGTTAGTAACTGATACAATTAATCTTAGCAGAGACGATTGAGGTTCTCCTCTTCCAAGTGCGAATGCGGTCACTAAAAAACCATATTCCACCTAATGAATAGTAGAGGAAATGAAAATCATACGTCTATTAATGATCATGTAATTTTAGATCAAATAGTTAATAAATATATTTATATAATAAAACATTGTTATTTTAATTCTTGGAAGAAGACCCGCATTCAAAAAGTATTTTATCCTATAAAACTGGGCATTTATAAAAGTGTTCAGAGACATTAACGTTCCGCCGCATAGACGTCAGACGACGCAAAATGAACTATAACAGCTTTTTTAGTTTTTTTGGCAAACATTGCTACGCCTCAATTTTTATATATCTCCATTGGTACCCTTAATATTTTATTCAAAACTTTTTTTATAACATTCTAGCAGAGGTAGCACAATTGTCGGATGAGCTAGGAACGCCGCAAACTAGGTAACAAGAATGACAAGGTCAACTGTCAAGTATGTCTATTCCGGGTTAACGATAGCGTAGTTTAGTATGTCAAAGGTCAAAGCGGCAGTTTTCTAATCTTCATTTGCATTTTTCGTTTTTGGGTAGTTAGGCCGTCGTGAAATATTTTTATTTGACGTTTCGCCAAAACGAGTGGTTGGAATCTTCAGAGGGTGTTCACAGTTGAGTTCTGTGCCAACCACTCGTGTTAACTTTGGATGATGGCCGTGACAGCCTTTCGCATTTCATTCTAGTAGAATATATTTCAATACTCGTCTTGCGTGGCCATGTTATCTTTACTCGGGCCGAAAACAGCCTTGATTTTAGTTTTAATATTTAGTTGAATATTATGTTTGTTAATGGAACGGCATTTGAGACGAATTGGCGATTAACCTAAGCATGACGCACCCCTTCACACTGAAATGGAAGTGAATGTTAGTTCACTTAACAAAGAAGAAACACCAATAAATCTAACATTGTTGGGTGACGCTGTTGCGACAGCAGGCTCTACAAGGAGACAGTAGGTAAAAGAGTTGATAATGATAGCAAATAATAAGAATAAAACTTGGAATTGTTTGAAAATAGTGGTCTGCATTGAAATTCGATAGTGTCAATCCGTCACAGAATTAATGCTAGAACACACCTACAGCTATTTGGATTTTGCAGTGATAGATGGCGCTATATATTGACGTCATCTGTCTTTTTTGTCAAAAACAGAGTTGCCAGTAGTATTTTTTCTTTTTCACTTTTTCAAAAAATTAACCTTTTCTTACTCCTATATAATGAGATTTGGTCAGAGTGCCTCTGTATATTACTGGATTCATAAAATACGGGATTTTTACTGTATTAGAAATCACTATTTTCAGTGAAAATGGGAACACAGATGGGTGGTTAGAAGATCAAACTTGAATTTGGCAACACCGCTCTTCCTTTACCAAGTTTCCATTTGTTTGGGTTAGTAAAAGAAAATTTATCTGAATTCATCCTGCTTAATAAGAATTATTTTCATATACAAATATTGCTAATTCATAGTGCTTTGATCCCTTAATTGATCCGGCGTGATATTTCTTTGGAAGTTTTAATAGTTTCTCTTTTTCAGACAAAGATGGTCCAACGGTTAGTTTTCAGGCGACGGCTGTCGTATAACACAAAATCCAACAGGAGACGGATGTAAGTACACCCTAAAATATGTTTTTCAACTTATTAATGTCCAAAATAATTCACCTCAAGTCTTTAGTTCATCAAAAAAAAATATTCTTGACAGATTTGAGGTTATGTATTTGAACATGTTTTGAGCAGTTTTCATGATGAATATCTGGCTAGAGTACTGAAAAGGGGTTATTATCCTTCTGTGAAGACAAATCCCTTCTCGTTCGTTACTTACCTCTGATAGAAAACTGCCTCAAACTTTATGGTTCATATTATATATACATTGCAGTATTTTTCATCGCCTATCAGAAGCATGCTGATATTTTAAAATCATTTTTATTCTATAAAATGGATGAAAAAGCTGCATTTTGATACTCCAGGTGTTAACAAAATTAACCATTGTATTTAAAAATGTTTTATACAAACCAAGATAACCGATTTGGAATACTATTTTGAATCTTTGTTCTTTATAAGACTATTTACTTTAGTTGACCAGTTTCAACAGTTCTTTCTTCTATATAGACTATTTACTTTATTTGACCAGTTTCAACAGTGTGTTCTCCTTAACTATATACAATCTCCTAGCACTTAGATAAATCCCTTTTGCTATAACCATGCATTGAAACATCAACTTTGTTCTAGAGTCCGCACTCCAGGTGGAAAGTTAGTCTATCAATACCTGAAGAAACCTAAGAAGATCCCTAGATGTGGCCAGTGCAAAGACAGGCTTAGGGGAATCGTCCCTGCCAGGTCCCATGAAAGGTCTCGCCTTTGCAGGAGGAAGAAGACTGTGAAAAGGGCATATGGAGGTGTGCTGTGTCACAAGTGTGTCAAAGAAAAGATCATTAGGGCTTTCCTTATCGAGGAACAAAAGATTGTTGTTAAAGTGCTCAAGGCACAACAAGCTGTAGGTAAAGCTAAGAAGTGACATGGTTAATAAATAGTTTATTAAATCTTGTGTGTTTTTGTTCTTACCAAGTACGTGAGGGGTTTTGCAATGGCATGAGATCTGTTCTTCATACCCAATTTTTTTTTATAGTTATGCAGCTTTGCCATGCAAAAGTTTCATTTTTCTCCTCTATAGCTAAATCTTGATACATTTGGGTAATTTGCCGAATTTGAAGGTAAGAAATTCTATCTTGTCAATTTTGGGGTTAAAAATCAACTGTTTGGTACTTTGTGTTAATCTCAGCTGGAAGCTTACATCAGATTTGGAATCTACAATCTTGTTTACCTGGGATCAGTGTTATTCAGAATTAAAAAAAAATATTCATATACTGCTTGCTCATGAGATTCCACTGAAGTTGTTTTTGCATACAAGTGAAGCAAAGCTGTAAACATTGGCAATTTGAGATGCTGAATTAAAAAAAATGACAATTCAAAATTTTTTATGTAGAGGCGGATTTAATATCATGCACTGTACCTCAGATCTCCAAGGGGCCCCGTGACGCGGTTTATGGGAGTCCCCAGAGTCAAGTTTAGGTCCCTAAAATATAATGTTCCAGTATGTAAACCCCCCAGATTCCAGATATCAGCTGGTTGTGGCGATGGATAATAGGTAGAAAATGAGCCATCTGGGGATCCTCCGTTGGTCCCAGAGCCAAATTGCTTTCTGTATCTACGCACCCGATTCTTAAAAAAATTGAAAATTGCTAATAATAAAGCTCCAATTCTGGCATTTTGTTCCAAGTGTTATATATTGATGTATCTTCCTATACAAATTGCCTTGATAGGGCTGAGTCCCACTAGTTTTGGACCTGGCATCATGAAGATTCGTTAAAAGGCGTCATGTTTGAATAACAAAAATAAAACGAAGCAGATTAATTTTCCTCAGATCAGATGTGAAGATCCTTCATGGACTATTATACACCGCTAAATGCTAAATACTGACAACACGTTTCTTTGAATTGCTGTCCCTTCTTGACAACACAGACCTTCTAGGCACCAATGACTTGGAGTGTGATCCAGGACTTCTCATCAGTTGTTTGCATAATCCAACTGACTCCATATCTCTTACAATTCCCAAAATTTCAACAGTTCAAATTCCAAATATTGAACGAAAATTGAAACACTCGTATACAAGCTCAAAAAGTTTTTCGCCCAATTCGAAAGCCGGCCCTGAACCCATGCCTATTACAATCTCTATTAACTTCTTGATTGCTTCAATTACTGAAACGAGGTGCTCCCCAGTACTCTCACATGATTGAAATGACCACATAATGTCCAACAATAGTTTCCTAACGACATGAAATAAAATAAAAGTGAATAGCAAAATACCGAAGGCGAAACAAAAACGCATGCTAACGGTGTACATGACACAGAAATCCGGTTTCCGAAACGCCTGCTCTGCACAGTTACTTGGTACGACTACGTTTTGACTGACCGATCAGCAGTGTCAGCGAGTAAAGTGGTACCGGAAAGCTTAAACGTGGTTCGAAGATGATTTGCGGACTATTTTCGAGGTTTCGGAGTGTGATAGTGAGAAAGCTTTAGAAAAAAGGAGACCCTTAAAGATTAGCAAGTGAGTACCTTCGCCTTCTGTGTACTATATATTTGCAGGTGGTACCGGTACCACGTTCTGTCTTGATGAAATTTAAAAAAGTTCGAGGGTATATTGTCTCACTTATTAAAGTCCAGCACTTACACTTATGTACTGGGTACGACTACGTTTTGACTGACCGATCAGCAGTGCCAGCAAGAAAAGTGGTACCGGAAAGCTTATACGTGGTTTGAAGATGATTTGCGAGAGTATTTTCGAGGTTTCGGAGTGCAATAGTGAGAAAGCTTTAGAAAAAGGAGGCCCTTGAAGATTAGTAAGTGAGTACCTTCGCCTTCTCAGTTCTATATTTTCAGTTGGTACCGGTACTACTTTCTGTCTTGATGCTAAAAATGAGGTACGAAATTCAGAAAAGTTTGAGGGTTCTCTCACATATTAAAGCTCAGCAGTTACACTTGGTTGGTACGACTAGACTCTGATTTCCAATCACCAATGTCAGCAAGTAAAGTGTACCGAAAGGCTTAAACGTAGTTCGAAGATGATTGGCGGAATATATTTACGAGGTTTCGGAGTGTGATAGTTAGAAAGCTTTAGAAAAAAGGAGGCCCTTAAAGATTAGCTGACGAGTACCTCCGAATTCTTAGTACTACATTTGCAGGTGGTACCGGTACCACTTGAGGGTAAAAAATGTAGTTTGAGCAAATCTGTCTAATCTATGAAAATATAAATAGAAACGTTGAATGGGCTACAGCTAAGGTGGAGGGTTGTTGGGATTAAGTTTTGATTGACCGCTCAGCAGTGTCAGCGAGTTATTTATTCGTACAGGAAGGCTTAAGCTTTTGGGGTTTCGACGTGTGATATTGAGAAAGCTTTAGGGGAAAGAATGTTCTTAAAGACTTGCCTTCTTAGTACTTTAATCGCAGGTGGTACCGCTACAACTTGCTGTCTTAAGGGCTCAAACATGTCGTTGAACGAAATTTAGAAATGTTCGACGGTTATCTCACCTATCAAGCACAGTACGAAAGTGGTACCAGAAAGCATATACGTGATTTGAATGTGATTTGCTTTATATTTCTGAGGCATTGAAGTGAATAGTGAAAGAGGTTTAGAGGATGCAGAAGCCATTCTATAATATAAAGTATACTTCACTGGAGCAAATCGCCAGGTGGTACCGGTATCACTGTTTCTTCCTTGATAATATAAATAGAAACGTTGAATGAGTTGAAAAGGGGAATGGTTGTTTACATTGTTCAGAACTTACAGTTACATTTAATTTGTACCTACGATTTGAATGAGTAGCAGTACCAGCGGGTAAAATAGATCCGGAAGGCCTGTACGTGGTTGGCAGATAAAGGGCATCTGAGGTGTCAGAGTGATAGAGATTTAGACAATATAAAAGCCCTTTCAGAATATCAACTGAGTACCTGTACAGAATTTGAGAGGCGGTACTGGTGCCACTGCCGTTTCCATGATGTGAGAAAGAAATGTTGAACAAAACTACTCGCAGTGAATTGGTACGACTACATTTCGACCGATAGATCGGAAGTGTGAGGCAGTAACATAAAGTAGTACCGAAAGGCATATACCAGGTTTGAATATGATTTGCGAAATATTTTTGAGGCGTCCAAGTATGATAGTAAGAGAGATTAGACGCCTTTCCACAATATGAAAGTGACACGTAGTACTGGTACCACTAGCATGCATATAAGGGTATGAGTAAGCGCCTCCAAATTTCAAGTAGAGGGCAATACCGGAACCATTTACTCTCAATAAGTGTGCACGTAGCTGCAACTGAACGAGTTCTGAAAAATTCAAATAATATTATTACGCAACCACGTTTTAACTGACCTATACCTATTACAGGTTTATACAGGGTGTCCCAGAAGTCGACGTCAAGCCGAAACCGGGTGATAGGCAAAGTCATAACAGCTATCAGAAAAATATTTAAAAAAAATTTATGTATGTGCTTTGAAAATTATAGCTTTTTGAAAAAAACATAGAAATTTCACACCCTACGGCAGTCTGTCAACTCCTGTTACTACAAATATTAACTTTATTTGGATTTTATTTTTACAATGTAATGATGAATAATGCATCTTCAAACTGGTGTCTCAACCTTACTGCCAACTTTTCTCGTTCAGGAAAAATTGCCACTTATTTCCCAACCAAGTATTCCAAAGTAAAACTTTGCTCAACTTTAACTGGCTGTACTGGAAAAAAATGTACTACGAGAGTTTGGCAAGTAACCTTAAAAGTTGGCGCATTTAATAAAGATTCCAAAATGGTATAACACTTAGAAGATTACTCGTTAACTTATGCACAATTTTTATTTGAAGAAAAACTGATGAAATTTTTTCAAAATTTCCTAATTAAACAGCGATTATGAAAACACACAAGGACCCTTAAGGATAACTGTTTGCATAACAGTGGGCGTCAAAATCCTGCTGATAACGATTTACCTTTACATCAAATGCTTTAAACTGTTTTCCTTCAGCCGCAATACACGCTCGACATCTTCTTAAAAAAGATCGGGTTATTAAACGAGCGAATCCACGGTTATTAACAAACTCTGCTGCTTCCAATAGTCTTTGCCGTAGCTCAGCTACATTTTGAATCGGCTTGAAATACACTTGTTCTTTTACAGTTCCCCAATAAGAAAAATCTAACGGATTCAAATCTAGTAACCGGGCTGGCCACGGTATTGTACCAGACCGCCCTATCCATCTGCCTGGAAAGTTTTGATCGAGATACTCTCTCACTGAGAGTGCATAGTGCGCTGGGCAGCCATCATGCTGAAACCACATGTCCCTGTAAATACTCAGTGGCACGTCCTCCAATAAATTTTCTAAATGATTTTGCAAAAAACCTAAATAAACCTCAGCAGTCAAAGTCTCTGGGAACTCAAACGGACCGATTATTTTACCATTTAAAATTCCTGTCCAATGGTTTATCTTGAAGCGATATTGAGATTTATCTTCTCTCATCAAATGTGGGTTTGCTACGTGCCACTCGTGTAAGTTATGCAGGTTCATGTACCCATCTTTCTTATATGTAGTCTCATCTGACCATAAAATTTTTTCAAAGAACCGTGGATCTTTCCTGTGTCTTTCTAACATTGTGCGACAAAAAGCAACTCGGGGCTCATAATCCCGGGGCAGAAGAGCTTGAACACGCTGTACGTGGTATGGATGGAGCACGTTTTTTTGCAAGATTCTATGGGCTGTACTTTTGGGAACACCTGTTTTTAGTTCTATTGCACGCACTGAAGTACTCGGGTCTTCTTCGACAGCTCCTAGCACCACGTCTTCGTAAGGAAGGAAAGATCTTCCCTCACCGTGTGATTGGTTTGGTAGTTGGCCCTCTGAGAACAGTAAGCGGTGCACATTTGTGAACACTCGATGATCTGGATGACGAGCTGCATTCGGGTAAAGTAAAGTATCGCTGCAGCACTAGCGTT